ATTGATTAATAAAAGTGTTATCTCTAAAATATAATCTATTGAAGTTTATATTTAAATCGGGCACGAACTTATGCAATCACCTGATATATATATATTATAATATTATTAGCGTTTTGCAGGCTTTATATACACTCATGACAAGAATTTGAATACGGGTATAGATAATGGATAACGCGCCGCATAGCGATAAGCGACTGAACTATTTTATAATACTTTGTAATAAGCTGCAGATTCTGTTCGGTTTTTGCTGTCAATTTGCTATCAGATTGCGCACTTCAGATCTTGCTCAGTTTTTGCTGACAATCTGATGTCAGTCATGTCAGCAAGCTTTGCTCGGTTTCTGCCGCCAATTTGCTGTCTATTTATGTTAGCAAGCTTTGCTTGGTTCTTGCCGGCAATCTGCCAGCTTAATCGGTAATAACAACTCTTGTACCAAATTTGTAGCCTTTTTGCTGACAATAATTTGTAGCAAGCACTTGGCAATATCTGTTAGAACAGATGTGGCTGACTGGGTCTTTATGCAGTCAGCCCATTTTATGAATTTTCATAAGATTTTACTAATTTTATTTATTGTTATTATTTAATTATTATTTAATGTAAATTATATTTAATGTTTAAATAATTTATATTTAATTTTAATTATAGTTAATTGTTGTTAATTATATTTAATGTTAGAGATTAGGTATAGATAATCGATATATATGTAAGATTCCACTGCCTAAATTATTAAAAATGTTAAAATTATTTTAATAAAAAGAATACAAATACTCGCAGAAGATTATTAGAAGAAGTTGAGTGCAGAAAGGGTAAAGTGCCGCTACAAACAGTTAAAGAATAGATCTCTTATTTTTCACTTGTCATTCAAAGGCTGCGTTCCGTTTCATGCATGATGCGCATGATGCATTACTTATCCTTGTTGTTCATCGAATGTTAAACAAGGATAAGCATCAGGGGCGGATTTATATAGAAGCTTACGATGCTTAAGCATCAGGCCCCCAACGAGAAGGGGGCCCCCAAACAACTACCGAATCGACACTTACGAGAACCATATAGTATCAGACTAGAGATACGTATTATTCTGTATAGTTATAATCAGATGGGTTATCCGCGTCTTCTTTGGTAAGAATTCTCTGTATACAATTTTGATCATTTATTTAACACTCCCAATAACAAGTTGTGAAGCAGAAAGAGGTTTCTCTAAATTATCTTTTATAAAATATAAGTACAGATCTAAAATGGGAAATAAAATTATTTATTAATTCTTTCAATAGAAAATGACATCACAAGATCTGTTACTTATGACGAAGCCATAAAAGTATATATAAACGTGAAATGTAAAAAACATCATTTTGTTACTTATGGTTGAGACTTTAAATCCATTTAAATATACTATTTTGTATGAATGGCCAAAAGCTGCAGAATTTGTTTGGTTTTTGCTGACAATCTGCTGTCAGATTGTCCTGCGCAGATCTTGCTCGATTTTTGCCACCAATTTGACGTCAAATCATGTCAAGCTTTGCTCGTTTTTTGCCGTCAATTTGCTGTCAGGTTATGTTAGCAAGCTTTGTCACCAAAACACAAGCTTAATGCGGACACAGATGGCACTGGATTTGTTACCAAGTTTTGAGCGAATTTGATGCCAATTTGGCAACAATTTGTTATCAAGTTGCTTACTGGGTATATATATATATTAAGAAGCTCCTTAAAGCAAGCGAGTTTTTCAATTTTGGCTTCATCATAGAGGAAGTTTTGTGAGCGAAATAAATAAATAAAGACAGTCAAAATCGGGCTAATATACGCCCATGTTAATAATGTTTTAAAATGTTCATCAATGTTTCTCGTGTTATTTTTTGTGTATTTTCGTATATTCTCTAGAGCTCAAATATTTTGCAATTTTGAGACTTTAAATCCATTTAAATATACTATTTTATATGAATGGCCATAAGCTGCAGAATTTGTTCGGTTTTTGCTGACAATCTGCTGTCAGATTGTCCTGCGCAGATCTTGCTCGATTTTTGCCACCAATTTGACGTCAAATCATGTCAAGCTTTGCTCGGTTTTTGCCGTCAATTTTCTGTTAGGTTATGTCAGCAAGCTTTGTCACCAAAACACAAGCTTAATGCGGACACAGATGGCACTGGATTTGTTACCAAGTTTTGAGCGAATTTGATGCCAATTTGGCAACAATTTGTTATCAAGTTGCTTACTGGGTATATATATATATTAAGAAGCTCCTTAAAGCAAGCGAGTTTTTCAATTTTGGCTTCATCATAGAGGAAGTTTTGTGAGCGAAATAAATAAATAAGACAGTCAAAATCGGGCTAATATACGCCCATGTTAATAATGTTTTAAAATGTTCATCAATGTTTCTCGTGTTATTTTTTGTGTATTTTCGTATATTCTCTAGAGTTCAAATATTTTGCAATTTTTTTCCATTTTTCGGGATTATAATTAACGCGATAGTATCCTGTAGTAAATATTTTTTTTATATATTATTAAATTCTCATCTTATTGGAAATTTATTAAAAAATATTTATGACTATCTGTATTTTAAATATTGAGAGTAATTTCGACTATTAAATAAGACGTAGAATTAAGCTATGTAAATAATTGTCTTATCAATTGTCTAATCAATAAATTGATTCACAATACATTTTACCAAATCGACTCGATTTGGCAACAATTTGTTATCAAGTTGCTTACTGGGTATATATATATATTAAGAAGCTCCTTAAAGCAAGCGAGTTTTTCAATTTTGGCTTCATCATAGAGGAAGTTTTGTGAGCGAAATAAATAAATAAGACAGTCAAAATCGGGCTAATATACGCCCATGTTAATAATGTTTTAAAATGTTCATCAATGTTTCTCGTGTTATTTTTTGTGTATTTTCGTATATTCTCTAGAGTTCAAATATTTTGCAATTTTTTTCCATTTTTCGGGATTATAATTAACGCGATAGTATCCTGTAGTAAATATATATAATATAATAACATAAAATAAAATAGTAAATAAATAATAAAATTATAAAATAAAATAAAACTCAAGATTTTATTTGTATGAAAATTAAAATCCTATTTTATATCTGAAATAGATATAAAAAAGATCTAAAAAAATAGGTGATTTTCACTCATTTGGATACTCATCTGTTCTTATTTTCGAACAATTAGTTCAAATTCTCAATAATCCCTTGTGTTAAGATTTTATTAAAAGTTAAACTGATAGAAAAATGTCATATTAATGTTATTGGCTATGCTTTCTGTATGTGTAGGCTTGATATACATTCATAAAAAAAACTTGAATATGAAATTCATAACGCGCATAATGCGTCACCTAGCACTAAGCGTTAACTTTAATGACGGATAACCGGTTCTGATTCTGTTATGCAAGAACAAGTTTTCCTTCAAATAAAGACTGTGATTTGTATTAATGAAACCAAAACCAAATACTTGTATATTTATTAATTGTATAAAATAAAATTCGTGTCTCGGTACTTGCAAAAAAATTTTTTGTATTACTGCATACGTCCGCTCACGTTCGTGGTTGCTAAACCATCAAAGAAAGAGACCAAATAAAATATTTATGTATAAAGTTCTGTTAAGAATTCGGTTCGAATCGGAGAGCACGCTTTTATCGTTATGAGCCTTGTTCAACATTTTTCTTAGTTCTATCGGACGATTTTGATTTCTGACCATAGTATTACCGACAATATTAATTTTATTTTATCAAATTATATATATAATTGTAACACCCAATGTTACGACAGTGTCATGAATGCAATCAGGTTCAAGGTAGGTATTTTGGACACCTTCTGTAAACTATCTGTATTTAAAACAATAAATGAATAATTCATCTCATAATTGTAATAAATGTCACCTAAGACCTATTTGCGCGGTCGCGTAGCTTTTAAACGACGTGTCATACAACATGGATTGCGTCACAAAAAATGGTCCTCTGTCACAAACTCTGAGGAACGATAGGTTTCGTATCGTACCTCAGAGTTTGTCACAGAGGGTATATCGAAAAAAGCAAAGAAAATATATAATTAATAATATATAGGGTGTTTCAAAAGTAGAAGACCATCGCTCGAGAGATGATTGAGGACCCACAAACAACAAAAAAAACTTAATATAAACATAGGTCAGGAAATTGTTTTCGAGTTATCGCCATTTTTGTAGAAATTTCAAATTGCTTTGTTTTCGAATTTTTTTGTCAAAATTGAAAGAAGAGATGGTTTTTATGAACGAAACACTCTGTATATAAAATAATAATTACTTTACCTTTAAATAATAATACATTACCTAAAAAAAATAAGGAACACTTTTCATACGCTAAAAAATAGGCTATTTTTAAATCGCTGAAACTCCGCAAAAAAATCATCAAACCAAAATTTAAAAAACATATTGAAGCTTGAAGTTTTAACTTTTTAACACGCTTTTGATAGTTTTAAAAATGTTTTTGTCTTACTTGTTTTATGCTTTAAAAAAGAATACTTTGTTTCGTTTCTTAAAATTATCTTTTTGAGTTTATCAGCTTGATAATAAATTTTTCTCTTAAAAAATTTAAGTCATATTTCACAACAAAAAATAAGCAATTATTAAACACCTATTAAAATAGTTACAAAATACATGAACAGATGATTTTATTTAATTATTTATATATTACTTTATATATATATTAATATATTTATATTTTAATTAAATATTTGTGAATTTTTACAATTTGTGTACAATTTACTTTCAGAAAACTGTAATTTTATGTTGGTGTCTTGGTACCGCGTGTATTATTTTCGTATTATTAGGCTTTTATAAACGAAACGTATCTATTCTGTATGCTGCTGTCTATGTTGCATTAAGTAGAACACTTTGGGCCATCGGTATAGCATGGATTGTAATAGCGTGTTTTACTAAGCATGGTGGTAAGTACATTTAATAAACTAATTTTAGGTACTTTTACACGAGTGTTGTCATATTGGGTGCACTTTTAATAGGCTCTATTGTACTTACTGGTTATATTTCATATATTTACGAATATATTCCGACGTAAGTAATAAAAACATTTTGCTAATTATAAGATTAATTAAATATTGTCTTATTGTAGGTTTGATGAACAATATAGACTCTCTAGTGTTTTGTACTATCCCCCATGGATCAGAATAGGACCATATATTATTGGCATAATTACAGGTTACATTGTAAGAAGATTAAATAAAAAATTGGTCTTGAAAAAAGTAAAGTATAATTTGATTATTATATGACTTTAATGTGAAAAAATAAGCAATTATTAAACACCTATTAAAATAGTTACAAAATACATGAACAGATGATTTTATTTAATTATTTATATATTACTTTATATATATATTAATATATTTATTTTTTAATTAAATATTTGTGAATTTTTACAATTTGTGTACAATTTACTTTCAGAAAACTGTAATTTTATGTTGGTGTCTTGGTACCGCGTGTATTATTTTCGTATTATTAGGCTTTTATAAACGAAACGTATCTATTCTGTATGCTGCTGTCTATGTTGCATTAAGTAGAACACTTTGGGCCATCGGTATAGCATGGATTGTAATAGCGTGTTTTACTAAGCATGGTGGTAAGTACATTTAATAAAATATATATATAATAAATCTTAACACATACATATATACATTTGCACATAAATCTACGCAAATAAGTTGTAATATTATAATTAAAATAATAATAATATTGTGTAATATTATTCCTTGCATCTCTCATTTAATTTATTTTTAATTTACACTTTTATAAGCTTTCTTCTAATGGCATAACGCATAAAAATAATTCTATAATTTAAAAAAATTTTATTTTTATCATCACACACATAAATATACAAATTATTTTATTGTGTTACAGGTATTGTTAATCAGTTATTATCGTCGAAAGTCTTTATCCCTTTTAGCAAACTTACTTATTGTGCTTATCTTGTAAATCCCTTCGTCATACAATCGATTCGTTTCTCTAGTGAAACAACCGTTCATTTGGAACTACTGCCTCTGGTAAGTAGAGATTATCTCTAAAATTTCGATACTAACAGAAGACTTTTTAACATTTATTATCAATTTTTAGATTCCTATGTTTATAGGATACTTAATGATTAGTTACGTTTGCGCTTACGCATTGTCATTAATGGCAGAAGTACCGTATATCTCACTAATGCGAATGTTCCGTCAATCTCGCAAGAACAGAAGATATACATATCGCCATAGATCGTAATTTTGCATATCAAATAATCACAGAGCCGTATTAGCATCTTAAGACATTACTTAAGACGGTTTTGAAATAAGAACTAACTATGAATACCGGCCTTTAATCTCTTAGACAAAAATTATAAAAAAGTTTGTAACAATATCTTTATTATTAGTATTGAAGTTCCCGCATTGCATCGCATCTCGTAGGATCGCGCGCTGCAACGGCGCCGATGACAGCGACGTCGGCGATTGTGCGCAACGCGGTCCGTCGTTTGACAGCTCGATCACGGTGGTGTGCGCGGTACGTGCGTACGCTCGTACCCGTTTGCGCCGCGTTTCCTCATCTCCCACTGGCTGCGATCTTCGATCGTGGTGAGACCGGTGAGACGACGCGCTCTAGAAAGACGAGGCAGTAACGAGCGACAGTGAGAAGCTACGAAGAAGCCTCTCCCTAGGTCGCTGACGACGACTATGTCGGCGACGCCGCGACGCGGCTACGCTTCGGCTCGCCGGCACTCGCGATGGTGCATAGTTGCGGCGCAACGGGATCAGTTGTGATGTGCCTAAAAGCGGACGCGATTACGCGATCGACGTGCGTAGAAATGACATTCGTGCGTCTCTCGTGGAGAGTTCTTAGTTAATTAAGAGTCAGGAAGATCGATTTCTCGCAGAGCAAAAGAGGGAGAACGAAGGCAGGTAAAAGAGAACGAAAGAGGAGAACTAAGTTCTTCCTTCCGTTCCCGGAGTAATTTGCGGAGATCGCGCGAAAGAAACGAAAGGCAACCGGCCGATCGATGTGTTATTTGTGATGGGAGTGCCTGCACGGGGAGCACTCGCGGCGATCGTGGCTGTAACCGCGCTCGCCGTGTATCTCAACAGTCTCGGATGCGGTTTCGTCTTCGACGATATCTCGGCGATCAAGGACAACCGCGACCTCAGGCCCCACACGCCCCTCAAGAATGTCTTCTACAACGACTTCTGGGGTACCCCGATGCACAAGGTGCGAGAGAAAGAGAGAAAAGCAGAGAGAGAGAAAGAGAGAGTGAGAAGAGGAGGCATCGTCCGGCCCTTGGAGGACGCGCGTTCGAGATCCTCCCCTCTCTCTTCACCATCCCTATAGATGGCCCCCTGCGTATTGATCCGCGAGCGTCCTGTCCATTTCATCCCGATCCGATCCCCCTTTCTCTGAATCTTCCGTTTCCCTCGTTTTACGTCCCCTCGCGTGCGTTCTGTCTGACATGAATCAAAAGCCGGTACAGCATAGCTAAATTCGGGATTTCCATGCTACCGATATGCGAAAATATATATATGATCCCTGTAATTATTTTTAACATTAGATTTTCTGTATCTTTAAAGCGCTTATAAATAATATCGCCAAAATTTTATTGATTTCAGAAGAATCGAAATTGATAAAATTTCTAGAAATTCAGATTTTAATGCTCATATTCTTCATAGATAATTTTTGTTGTATGATGAAAACGCGAAAATTGGAGTACATTATATTTTTCGGGATTTATAATATCAATAATTATTATTTTCATAATTTATTTTAATAAAGTAAAATAGAATAAACTGCAAACCTATCTTATGTAAAACACATGCCTGTATTAATTCAAAGTTTTTGAATCTGTTCATTTTTATTGCATTTTTCTCTCTCTCTCTCTCTCTCTCTCTCTCTCTCTTATATATGTATAAGTAGCAATATTTATCCAATTTAATCAGAAAAATATCTTGAAATTATTAATGCTTTACAAAATAAGAATTGAGAAAAGTATCCATGAAAATATGCAATCTACAATCTTGTCTTATCAATGTATTACTATTTAATTATCTCTAGCATAATTTTCAGTTTTTTTGTTATGAGAAAAACACATAGTATATTGTTAAGCACAATGAAAATGAGATATAAACTTAATTAAGATTGCATAATCATTTTGAACAAAAATCTTAAAAATATAAGATATGTTATTTAAAAAGTATAAAAAATATGCTTAGCATAATTTTCAGTTTTTTTGTTATGAGAAAAACACATAGTATATTGTTAAGCACAATGAAAATGAGATATAAACTTAATTAAGATTGCATAATCATTTTGAACAAAAATCTTAAAAATCTAAGATGTTATTTAAAAAGTATAAAAAATATGCCATTTTCCTTATACATATGTTTTATGTTTATCTATTAATAATAATAATTGTGTATTTGCTGCACAATTGATTAATTACTATTTTCATCAATTATATTTTTTTTCAATAGGAACAGTCGCACAAATCTTATAGACCACTTTGCGTTCTCACATTTCGATGGAATTACCTGATTCATCAACTAGATCCTATGGGATATCACCTGCTAAATGTTATTCTACATGTTGGAGTATGTCTATTATACTTCAGGTTCGTGGATGTCACTTTTTATAGTTTATATCTCTTTCTTGCAATGTTTCTCTAATGTGGAATTATAGAAAATTATTATTTTAATTTATAGAATAATCTTATGTAAAGTTTGCATTAAAGGCAAGAAAGAATATATGCAAAAATTGTTAACAGGACCTGTTTGATGTTTCTACCAGATGCAGCAAGTTTTGTGTCATCTTTATTTTTTGCTGTACATCCTATACACACAGAAGCAGTATGTAATGCCAAAAATAGAAAGACTTATTATTTGAATTATTATTATTAAAATAATGTCATTGATAAAAATATGGCTGTAATTATATTCCTAGGTCACAGGTGTAGTTGGTAGGGCAGAAACTTTGTCCTCCTTATTTTATCTGGCAGCTTTAATTACATACACTAAATGTTGCAAAAGCAAAAGATCTACAGGTAATGACTTGAGTCCTCATGCAGATAATTTACATTGTGGAACATTATATTATACATATATATCGGCATTTTATAGGATGGAAATCCTTGATGTTATCTATGTTTTTTGTATTTACTGCAATGTTGTGCAAGGAACAGGGAATTACGGCCACAGCAGTTTGTTTATTGTATGAAATTTTTGTTGTACAAAAGGTAAAAAATCTCCATAATGCTACACATTTATTATATCAAGTATGACAAAATTATACTAATAATACTCATAACTTTACTTAGGTTAGAGCAAGGGATATTTTCTTAGCACTAAAGTCAGCTTTTGGTGGTAATAAAATTTCACCTGCATGGTCAGGCGAGGGTACAAAGCGTTTGACCGCCCTTACACTTGTTACATTTAGCCTGCTTATTCTACGGTTACATATAATGGGCTCAAAGTTACCTGTATTTACCAGGTATGCTGTATGTATGCATATAATTGTAATTAATTTTATTTTTATACTATAATTAATATGTATATATTTTTTAGATTCGACAATCCCGCATCAGTTGCTGCGACACCAACAAGACAGCTTACATATAATTATCTTGCTGCAGTGAATCTAAGACTGCTATTTCTTCCAAGTGATTTATGCTGTGATTGGACAATGGGAACGATACCATTAGTAGAAAGCTTTCTCGATGTTCGTAATCTCGCAACTTTAGGTACTCATGGAACTGTACTAGGATTGCTTGTCACAGCTGTTGTAACACGTAGCAGACAAACGTCGGTTATTCTCATTATGGTTAGTAAAGATGATCATTATGCAAATAGATGTAAAAGAGAATTTAAATAATTGAATAATATGGTGTGTGTTGGAATAAGGAAAATATGTGATATCATGCATGCTCTAGAAATTTTGTATATGTGTGTGGATTCTTTATAATTAACAACACTAATATTTAATGAATATGTTGTGTTTCCAAAATAATGCCTGCAGAGTTTAGCTATGATGATACTCCCTTTTTTACCTGCATTGAATCTTTTCTTCCCGGTCGGATTTGTAATTGCTGAA